TGAAAAAAGGTACGGAAAATAGTTGGGACATACTTCGAGTTATATGATTATGATGTGGATTTTAGTAGTTGTAGACTCTTGGCATGCTTCAGGCGCGTGCTCGTCTCTGAAAAAAAAAGAAAAAAAAAGCATCTTTAACATTTTTATTAAATAAAAAATTGAAAAGAGAAAATTTTCCTCCTGGTAGTTAGAGAGGAGAGTGAAAATAGGAAATGACCAACTATTTATCAGTTTAGCCCCTTGACTATTTTCAAAGAACAGTTGTGAAATAATTGGAAGCTTTGTTTGGAAAACCCCCTTCCCAACTGATACAAAATATTTTATTTATTAATTTTATAAAGGAAACTTTCTTGTTTTATAAGATAACAAGTCTGAGATAATTATACCATACTGGGTGTTTATTAGTATAAATGTATTGGAACTAGTTTAAACACATCGTAATATTCGACGTCGACGTCATGTATATGATTTCTGGATGTTTGCTAGTAATGTTCTAATGTAATTGTTTCTGTACTTATATGCATGTTGATATATATATCTATCCCTAAGTTGTACTTTAGCATTATTACTACCAAGACATTTGAATTCAATTTGTTATCTCTACTTTTCTTCCTATATAAGTTTGTCGTAACGGCTGATGCCTTATTATTTTGGGAAGATACTGACATGTTTTCATTGTGGTGTTTACTCAATCTTGTTTGATAATATTGACTTTTCTTTTCATGTTATGTCTAATTGTTTTTCTGGATAGATACTCATACTTTTCTTTTCCCTTAACAAATTTGTTAAAACGTTATACCTCCTCCATATTTGGAATATTCCTCTGCCTTGTAATTGGATAACGATGTTTTATCAACGGGATATTTTAGTCCTTTATGGTCATCTTCTAATATAAAGCAAACGTATCTCTTTATGCCACTTAACGACTTGTCATTTTCTTAAGGGCAATATTCAATTTAATGGCCATGATGTTTGGTCATGGATGACTGCAATGAAGAAACTAACCTCATGATATTGATGTCTTCACGCATTTGCTGGTTTATCTGTCTGCCGCTATTTACCTAACCCCTTAAATTTTATTTGCTTCGGGTTGGAATTGTTACTACTAGGATTTTGCCCCTTGTCTACAAAAAAATTTGCACTAGTTCGTGTATTATATTCTTTTTGAATACAAGTGATAGTCTAAACTACAAGGGGGAAAAAGGGGGGGTTTCTCATTCACACACACGCTACAAGGTGCCATTGGGGTTTGAACCTGATACCACTGGGGGACTTTAAGTCAAGGCCCTTTCCACTGGGTTAGACCTTGTTGGCATGTTTCTTTGTATATCTTATCCTATGACTTTCCAATTGCCATGGTTACTAATGCCTTCTTGTTTTATTTGTTGCCTCATATCAGTATTGAGATCTATAAGCACCATAAAGAAGAACGAATTGCCAGGACATGGGGAACAACTGCCCCTGGTTTGCCTTATGTTGATCAAGCCATAACCAATGCTGGAAACTGGCTGATTGGAGGTGACCTAGAGGTTATAGAACCTATCAAGTACCATGATGGCCTTGATCGCTTCCGATTGTAGAATTCACAAGGCGCAATGCTGATGCTGTATTTGCATTTCAGCTGCGAAATCCTGTTCACAACGGCCATGCTTTGCTGATGACTGACACCCGTCGTCGGCTTCTTGAGATGGGATACAAGAACCCCATTCTCTTGCTTCATCCATTGGGCGGATATACAAAGGCAGATGATGTCCCACTTAGTTGGCGAATGAAACAACATGAGAAGGTATGTATTTGGTAACTAAATCGGGCACAGTGATTCAATATCTTTTTTCATTTAGTTTGTGCATTAATTTCTTCCCACAAAATATCTTCCTGTCAATAGCCCTTGAAAGGTGTTGTTCACTAATGCAGTTTCTCGACGTTTGATGTTTTGCCTCCACCAATTGTTATCATATAGAACTTCCTGTCCTTATCCAAATACTGATTCTTTTTTATATCATTTAATGTTTCTTCAGGTTCTTGAGGATGGTGTTCTTGATCCTGAGACGACTGTGGTTTCCATATTTCCCTCTCCCATGCACTATGCTGGCCCAACTGAGGTGCAGTGGCATGCAAAGGCTAGGATTAATGCAGGGGCTAACTTTTACATTGTTGGTCGGGACCCTGCAGGGATGGGTCATCCAATTGAGAATAGGGATCTGTATGACGCCGACCATGGGAAGAAAGTATTGAGCATGGCACCTGGACTGGAGCGTCTTAACATCCTTCCCTTCAAGGTATATATATTATTTGGCTGCGATGCTATTCATGGATTTTCTTTGATATCTTCCTTTATCATTAATTTATTCCCTTGCAGGTTGCTGCATATGATAAATCTCAAGGTAAAATGGCATTTTTTGATCCCTCAAGGCAACAGGACTTCCTCTTCATATCGGGCACCAAGGTATGCGTTCTTTTAATGTTGTTCCTGACATGTTTCTTTAATCTTAGAGTCAGCTATGCAAAGTAGTATTTAAAGAAACACACATTGCGAGTCATTTTGTTAAGTGCATAAATATATTTTATCTAAAAGAAGCTGCAAATTACAGATGCGAACACTTGCAAGGAACAAAGAGAACCCTCCTGAAGGATTCATGTGCCCTAATGGCTGGAAGGTGCTCGTTGACTACTATGACAGTTTGGTTCCTGCGGACAACGGTAAAGTCCCAGAAGCAGTTCCAGTTTAGATGGAGCTGATGTATCATATGTAATTCCCCTGTTTGAGAGAAACCTTGATAGCTAATTAGTCTCCTCTGTGTGATCAAGATTACTTGATAGCTAATTAGCGTCCTCTGTGTGATCAAAGATTTCATAAGATTCTCTGTCCAGAATTCTAATAAAACCATGTGAGACACTGGTGCAGAGAAACGACCTTGCCTCGACTGTAATTAGCGCCACTAATTGCATCTTGCTTCACTGCATTTGTGCATGCAGGCGCTTTGTATCATAGCGTGATTGTCTTCTATAGATAATAGAAGGTAGATATTTTGCAATGTCTTTAGTTCTCAAAAATTTATCCATGATTTGCACTGGTTATAACTTAAGATGCTGAATCCATCAGCTTAAAGCATTGCTTGTAAAACTAGTGCATTTTACTTCCCCAAAAGAAAAAGCATGGACCACATTCTGTAATTGTTTTTGTGGTGGACATCACATGGATTTTTTTTTACCACATTGTCATTTGACAACCAGCCTCCCATTTGCTCCATAAGATTACATTATGAAATTCATATATTGAATGACAAACATAAGACTAGTTAATTGGGTAAAGACCACTACGATGTGATTCACTTATCCCTCTTTGGATAGCTGAATATTGGCTTAGCAGGAACTGGCATGCACTTGAAAACCCAACTGATTGGCCAAGATATGGCTGCAATTCCAATGCATGCCCCCCATTGGCCCCAACTTAGCCTCTCTGTATCTGCAAACCTCTCCAGAAGTTCCACCATAAGCACCTGAACTGCAATGGTTATTGCAATGATGACCCAAAACAACTTGTTCCCTTGACTCCCTTTGAAGACATTATTCTTCTCAATGTTCCTTGAGTTGAATTCATTGAAGACTTGGCAGAAGACAAAAGTATTGAAGATCAAGGTGTTGTTGACCCTCTCATTAACACCAAAGATTGATCTGCCCCTGAACTGGAAGATCAAGACGACAGCTATCTGGAACAAAGCTTGAGATAAAATGTTCCTCCACATGATGCAGGTGATCACGGGCTCTGTCCGCCCAACAGGTGGCCTTTCCATGAGCTCTTTGGTGGGCTTATCTGTGGCAAGAGCCAGAGCAGCCATTGTGTCCATGATCAGATTCACCCACAGCAACTGGACTGCTGTCAAAGGTACTTCACCAGCTGAGGCAGCTGCCACAAAGTTGATCACAAGAGTAGCAACATTTATTGTGAGCTGGAATTGAACAAATTTCTGGATGTTGGCATAAACACCCCTTCCCCACCTCAAAACAGTGACCAAAGTCGCAAAGTTGTCATCCAGAATGACAATGTCTGAACTTTCCTTTGCCACTTCAGTGCCCTGAATCCCCATTGAGAGTCCTATATGGGCTTCTTTCAGTGCCGGGGCATCATTGGTGCCATCGCCAGTAACAGCGACTACATGGCCTTTCTGTTTCAAGCACTGCACCATCAGAAGTTTATCAAATGGTGAAGACCTTGCCATCACACAAATCTCATCAACCTTCTGCATTCTCTGCTCTGGTGTGTAGTTCCGAAATTCCACACCTTCTACCACTGCTTCCCTGACTATGTCCCGGTCTGCCCTGAGTATCCCACACTCAGTAGCTATAGCTTTAGCAGTGAAAACATTGTCACCAGTGATCAATTTCACCTGCACCCCGGCGAACTGGCAAGCTTCTACTGCTTCCCTCACCCCTGGCCTACACGGGTCCTTTAGACCAACCAGTCCTAATAAGATCAAGCCGCTGTCTTCGAGCTTTTCGTGTATTTTTTCATCACTGTGCTTGTAATCTGGAATTTGTTTGTGTGCAAAAGCAATGCATCGGAGACTGCTTGCTGCCATGCCTTGAATAGTTTGCTCAAACTTCATCCTTTCATCATCAGTCAGATCTTTTGTAATACCAGAAGCATCGTAGTAACTCGAGCACATTTCTAATATCTTCTCTGCAGCTCCTTTCCAATGCACATGGGTGGTATTGTCTGCCTTCCTTTTCATCAAAACCCCGCTTCTTTTCTTCTGTGAATTGAAGGCTTCAACATGTTGAATGATACATTTCTTTGTCAATCCCTCCATGTCCATGTTCAGCTTCAGAGCAGCCCATGAAAGAATGGCTTTTTCTGTAGGACTGCCTGTAAACTCAAATTCGGATGCTGAAGTAGGCCTGTAAACACTGCCCGTCGTGTTAAAAGCCACTCCTTCTAGGATTAAATCAAGAAGACAATGAGGAATTGATGAATAAGCAGCACCATCTTCCACAGATTTTTGGCCAAGCCAAAACTTTGTAACTTTCATCTGGTTGAGTGTGAGCGTGCCGGTTTTGTCTGTACAAATGGTGGTGGCACAGCCCATAGTCTCACAAGCAGAGAGCCTCCTCACCAACGCCTGCTCTGCCATCATCTTCTTCATCGAATATGCAAGAGTTAGAGTGACAGCCAATGGGAAGCCTTCTGGAATTGCAATCACAACAACAATAACTGCAATTGCAATTATGTCCACCACAGCATTCACCACATCATCAATCTTCGTCTCGCTGCCATCGAACTTACCAATTTCGTTCTCCTTCTTTGTGTTTCCAGTGAAGTAACGAGCTAATAAGACCACAAAGACCATGAATGCAACTGCCAAACCAATCTTAGCCATCAATGGGGTTAGTTTGCTGAGCCGTTCTTGTAAAGGCGTCTGTTGATCACTGGTGTCATGGTTAATCAAGCTCATCATTTGGCCCCATGTTGAGTTCATGCCAACTGAAGTGACAAGCATTTGGCCATAGCCATCAACCACTTTGGTTCCAGAAAACAAGAATGGATTGTGGCTGCAATCGACTTCCACATGGTCGCTTTCCCCTGTCATGCTTGATTCGTCTACGCTCAACGAATGTCCATATAAGAACCGAAGTTCGAAATCTTTTGCCTTCGCCCACCTCTCAAAACATCAATCGGGATATCCTCACTGGCTTTCGACAGCTTGTCGAATTGTTTGCTCTGCCTGTAGTCACTAAAGGCAGATATAGCAACAATAAGAAAAACAGCAACAAAGATGCTTCCACCATCATACCATCCTTCTTTTAGTCCTTGCTGCTTAATGCCAAAGCCAAGTGAGAGTGCAGCGCAGCCTATAAGGATGACAATGGTAAGATCCTTAGAAGCTTGCCACATAAAATGGAAAAGGCTTTTCGAAGGTGGCTTCTTATATGTGTTTGAACCGAATGCTTTATGTCGGAGGGCAATGTTGTCACCGTCATCGTGGACACCACGCTCAATGTCGGTTTGAAGAGCAGATGCAATGCCATCGATGCCTTCAAGCTCCCGAAGTAGGTGTAGATTTTTCTCCTTCATGAGTTCAGTGAGGCATTTGCTATCAATTTTGAACCCATTTTTCAGCTGAAAATGGGAAGTGGTGTGAACAGGAGAGTATGAAATCTTGGTACTTTTTTTCTCAGCTTCTGACTTCTTGACCAGAGAGAGCATGGCCCTGCAAAAAAAGATTGCAGCAAAAGCCTTATGCCACCTCTTTCTGGCCGTGCTAAGTGTGTTTTCCCCTTCAAGTAGAACGTCAACGGAATTCAATTTTGCATTGCAAATGCTAGACATGGTCAATTTCTAGAGCAGAAAGAGAGAGCAGTTACAAGGAGAAACAATGGAAAACTGGGAATGCAGATAAATAGAATTAGGTTGTTGTGTTTCTTATATTATACTTACATAGCTGTGAAGGTACATTTGGTTCCTTATGTCATTGGCTTCTGTTCTGAAAATTGATACATTACAATTTACAACCTCTTGCAGACTGTAATAAGTTTACTGCCTTTTCTACCCAATATCTCGCAATTTGGTTGTGACAATATTATGTACATAATTTCAAAGTCATGAAACAGAACCACTTGATTGTTTTATCTCATTGAGTGATGGATGAAATTCTTTAGCAACATTCACTTGAAAGAAAAACATCCATTGGAAGTTGCTGAGAAATTGCTTGAACTTGCTTTGGATGCTTGCTATCATTGATATTAGAATTGCGGATATTTGTGTTTATGTGGAGAGGGAAACTTCCATTTGGTAATGGATATCTCCTGTTTATTTGTATGCATATTGGTGGACAATGAACGTTTATGCTTATATTATAGTGAAAACGAAACTCAAATGTTGTCGTCTATAAAATTTGAACCCCGGACATCCTCCAAAAATGTAGAAGCTGAATACCACTAAATCAAATGGTCACGTATTTAGAATAGTACAAAATAAAGAGAGGATAACTTGTGAAAGCTGCCATGCTGGATGCAGATGGAAAAATGAAAGCTATGCTCTATCATCACGAAACGTATGCCTACCTTCTTTTGTTGTCTATGAATCAATGCTTCAAGCTAGAGGGTGAAGCAACCTTGACTTGGTAGGGTTGAGCAGTCCTCCCTCCGTTCCTCAAGATATGATACAAATTATTATTTGTTTAAAATCTTTATTTTATTTGGTAAAGGATAACTACAACATTGGGTTTTGTGATTAATTTGTACCCAGAGACTCCATATGTCAAGTTTTTGATGAGCTACACCGTATAAATTTGATAATATTTCATGATAAACTATATGCTGAATCTCCTTACATACAAAAACAACGTTGCACATACTTACATGATACATCTACACATGTACGTTGTGCAACCAAGTTTGAATTATATTATTTTAGAATAATTAAAGAATGTAATAAATTATCAAATAAAAAATGTAAAGTATCATCCATTCCATTCAAAGCAACTAAAACTTATTCAACCCCTATGCATCCAGCCTGGGGGCTTCCTTCCTTCAAGATACTGATGGGTGCAGGCGGATGGTTCCCCTAAAAGCAAGGCAAAAGATAAAGAAATGCAGAATTGAAATAGGAAATGTATATTCTTCTCTGCTTCACTACTGTGAAGCCAGGCTCCTTTAATACATCAAGGATGGAAAAGCTGATAAGGATGAAGATGTAAGATACGTCATAGTTATCTAACGGTTACTCTAGCCTGCCCAACGAGGTGGGGAAAAGTAAGAAGAGCCCAACAAAAAGAGAAACACATATATTGGGCCAAAGCCATGAGATATATTGTATTGGGCTGTTAATGGGACTTCAACTGCTGAAACTGCTGCTACGAAGTTGATCACAAGAGTAGCAACATTGACAGTGAGCTGGAATTGGATGAACTTCTGGATGTTATTGTTAACACATCTTCCCCATTTCAAAACTGTGGCCACTGATGCAAAGTTGTCATCCATGATCACACTATCTGAGCTCTCTTTGGCAACTTCTGTGCCTTGAATTCCCATAGAAAGTCCTATATCAGCTTCTT